TGGTGGAATGGAACTCAACCAATTTCTGGTCAGCTTACTGCATGTTTTGGGTACAGTAGGAATTTGTAGAGCAATTGGTTGGTGTGTTTGTTTTGCAGTGTTGAAGTGGCTGGATTTGTGCAGGTACAATCATCAGTTGTACTGTGCCTGCTGACTGTGTGGTGGAAGGAAGTTCAGTCACTGTCACCTGTACCAGATCTCTGGACCTAACTCAACAGAGCAGGATACAAGTTAACACTGCAGATGGTTTTGCCACAGGTTTGAAGTTTAATACTGGATGTCATCGTTTGGAATTGTTTTAACACACCTTTTAGCCCCAGCCGACTACACTACACTCAACATACCTGAGAACCGACCAAGCTTCTTTGCCGGCAATATTCTGAACTACAGAGGAGGGAGCAGACAGGATTCAGTGATATCATTTGACATCCAAACTACAGCAGACAGTGATGATACAGAGCCTCAAGAGACATTCTTCCTCAATGTCTCCCCTGTGAGGACGGTCATTGTCCTGACATCACGAGTTACCATTACCATTTGTGGAGGTATGAACTAAAATTATAGTAGCAAGTTCGGTGAAGTGACCTTGATTTGTGATTTTTTGGTAAGATAGTAGCAAAGCCTTTAGCTACAAACCATGCACAGAATCCTTCCAAACTCACAGAGAAGCTACTATTTATCATGTAGTTCATGACTAATAATTTATAGATTGAATAATCATTAGAAAAACACTTACATTGTATCACTATTACCGCACTTCTATGCACAAGTCCCTAGAGTAGTCAGTCACACAGCTTATATTGTGTGCATTGTCTCTGAACACAAGGTTTCTCTGACGCATTATGGAATTATATTTGTGTAGTCTACAGGGTCGCTACTTTTAGATTTACTATTTGATTACTATATTTTACCATACTTCTCTATATAGAAAATATGGGCATAATTCTGGAACACTTGTTTCACACGCAGTACCTGCTTAGTAATTATGGAATTATTATATTATTGTTTCGACTGATCTCAGGAATCGTTTCTGAGGTTGACTGCTGTTTGATTCTGAATGAGACGGAGAATGTTGCTGTGGAGTATAGTGGATTATCACCAGGGACTACAGCTACTTTCACCTGTCCTTCTGGTTTTGAATTGGTTGGAGCATCAACTCTAATGTGTGGGCCCAGTTGCCAGTGGAGTGATCTGCCACCTACATGCAGGCGTAAGCATCCATCTCACATCCTATCTTTCTTAACTCTCTGTGAATGTGCTTAACAATGCCTATGGGGTGGGGTGACTACAATTATTATCTGGTCACCTAAGTACAATTTGCGCGCTAGTGATGATATCAGCTTGAATGGCTTATAATTAGGTGCCTCTGAGGTTGTGAAAATCAATGTTTATTATAGCCTAAGAACAGAGTGTAAATGCCTAAATTCTACCACCGCTGCATTGACTGTTTAGGCTATAGCAGTCTTCCTCTTATTTAATTACAGCTTTATGCTGCATGTTAACTCATCCTGACAATGGTATGCTGACACTGACTGGGACGTCTATTGGAGACAGTGCAAATTACTCCTGTGATGAAGGGTTTAACCTTGTGGGACCCCCGGCTCTCACATGTCAGAGTAATGGGACGTGGGATAATCCTGCACCCATTTGTCAGTCTGCGAATGGTTAAGCAGTGATAATCTTTATGTTGCTATATAGCTATCTTTTTTCTCTCTGCAGTGTTTGTTTCATTCAGTCCAACTCTATACACTGTAACTGAAGGAACGAATCAATTTGTAGAACTTATCGTTACAAGAACAGGAAATCTTAGTGTGTACACAGAATTTACCGTTGCTACATATAACGGCACAGCTGAAGGTAAGCCTTGACTTTATGCTTGCTGCTAGAGTCTTGGCGTAAGTTTTAGAGGGCATGTGATCGTATAGGGGCTAAAATTTACTGAAGATAGAACTAAACAATGAGGGCCTATGCAAGAATACAATTTATTAAATTTTCAGAGAGTTTGCCCTTATTGCTTCTGTAGCTGGATTGGATTACACAATGACAGAGGTGGAAGGTGTCTTTGATGCTGAATACACTGTGGCTGTAGTTACTGTTGCAATACTGGATGACCATGTGACAGAAGAGGCCGAGATATTTATTGTGGTCCTGTCTAGTTCCGCCCCAAACGTTGTAATTGGTAGTGGAAATACGTCTTTTATTGTAATTGTGGACAAAAATGGTAAGTGTTTAAGCTATTTACAATGCTTTTATAGTTACACAAAAAGCTGCAGTTGTATGTCCAAACCTTACTGAGCCCGGCAACGGTGGTGTAGTACTGTCAGGAGTTTCTTTGGGTGATACGGCCACTTTCACTTGCACCAACGGATATGAGTTAGTAGGAGACTCAGTTCTGTACTGTCTCAGTGGTGGAACGTGGGACAACTCACCCCCTGTCTGCCAGGGTCCTACTGGTATGCCTCAAAAGTGTAATAAGTTATTCACACAAGCAGAGACATGTCTGAAAAATATTGCAACACTTTATTTTCATTCTTTTTTTTTCGTAAACGCAGCATTTACCATTGACTCTTCTTAAAAGTGTAAATTAATATTCCTCAAATAGTGTTCTGTCCAAACCTTATGGATCCCGCTAATGGTGAAGTGATTCTGTCAGGAGTTTCAGTTGGCGACACAGCTACTTTCACCTGTAACGCTGAGTTTGAATTACGTGGAGACTCAGTTCTTACCTGTCTCAGTGATATAACATGGGACAAAACTCCACCAGTCTGTCAGGGGCCTACTGGTACGACGTAATATGCTGTTAAATCCTTACAGTGATTCGCATTTTCAGTTTTGTTTCAACCAACCACTTACACTGTGACTGAGGGAGTGGATGAGGTGGTGGAGCTGATCGTTCTAGCTGAAAATATCAAAACCAGCACAATCACCGTCAATGTATCATTCTTTCCAGGATCAGCTCAAGGTAATTAAACAATTAGCTACATGTAAGTGGCTATACATGAAAGTGGAATGTCTGAAACTTAAAACTTTGTTCGCAGTTAAAATTTATATTTTGTACTGTCAAACAATAGGCAAAGCCCTGATGGTGCTGGTCCATACCACTATTATACCACTTAAAAATCTTATACACACCGGTCCCTCTGATACAAAGGGTGGTTTGTTATGTACCTTGATAATACTAATATAAATGGCTCACACTATTGAACGGTTTGATCAGTGGTTTTTTAATTGCTTGCAGCTACACAAGATTTTATAGCAAGCTCTAAATTAATTGCCCTTGCTCCTGGAGAGACAGAAGACAGAGTAAAAGTCCCTATCATAGATGACACTATTGAAGAAGATGCAGAGACATTCACTGCAGTATTATCTGTTTTGGAGATAACTGTAGATGTTCCTGCTGCAGTGGCCACTGTAACTATTATTGACAATGATGGTGAGTGTAACAGTCGTTTATGCTTTGTAGTCACAATCACAATTGGCGAGGGAAGTAACAATACCTAGAGCAGTTTGAATTGCCAATTGTTTAATGTTCGGGGGCATAGAGAGCTTGACATAAGTGGGGGGGAGGGGGGTTCTATTATGTGCATGAATCAGGGGTGAAAACACAAGGCAAGTGTACACCTAGGCCAACACCTCTTTCAAAGAGCTGCCCTAAGTGGGACTCGAGGCAAAATGGGGTGGGAGTAGAAGAGTTTTTAGTAGGTTGGGCTGGTTAAGTGAAAGTATCACATATTTACCCACTTTAGGGAATGATTCAGAAAAGCAAAGCACCGGAACTATAGTGACACTATCAGTGATCATCCCTGTGATAATATTGGCTTCAGCCATCATTATCTCTCTGTTAATTGTGTTCTTCTATCAGAAAAAGAGGAGACAGCACCCCAATCGACCACCTGTAGAGAACATTTATGTTGATCCCAGCACTTTCTGTCGACAGGAACCAACGAGTGAAAATCCAGCTGATAATTTCCCGCCAAAACCCCTTCTGCAGCATTCCTCTCAGCTTCTGGCTACGGAAGCCAAGTACTCTGCCGATACTAAAGTGTGACAGGACACAATCAGAGACTGTTTTTTTAAAAATATAGCTAACAAGAATGACATTTACTTTGGTATAACTTAACCACGAACCTCCTTATTGCCAGAGAGGTTTTGTGGTAGCTAGCTACCAAAACTGTATAGCTACATACTCTTTGTACATAAATGTTTAAAAGCAAGGCTTTGAATTATGTCAGCTATCAGTTCAGTGTGTGAGGATGATTAGGTTTTGTGTGCATCACTGTGGCGATTTGCAAGCACTTGTAATGCTTATGACATATGACCTTTTGTGAACACAAATTAGTCCCTCATTGAGTAAACCCTTGGTGTTGGCTAAAGCATTTACACCACTAAGGTAGAGTCAACACATTAGAAGAACATAAACACTTTCCCGACTAAAACGACACCGAAGTAAACAGTGCATTAGCTACACAACCATCTGGTAAATTACCTGATTATCTCTCTCACTGCATGTGCTAATGGACTACTTGGTTGAGTGGAGGGAGGTCCCTTGGGCTTCTACTAGGCGCCACTGTCCAGAGTGTTTATACAGAAACCACACACCTTGTTCCCATACATTAGTGTTTAGTGTATTATAACGTCCCAGACACTTCCGATGTCCATAAAGTTTCTGTTGTGTCTATGCATACACTGCACAGAAGTAAAGGACCATGAAAACATGAAGGAAATGGAAACAAACTAAGGGAAGGTGAATACAGAATGGAAACATTGATCTTTTATTGATCCCCACGTCTGCCAAATGAAACACACCAAAGGTGGAAAATAAGTGTGGCCTCTTTTTAGGTTGTATTATAACCACAACAAAAACTCAAAAACTATATACGTCGCTGTTGCCTTGCCACTGTTAGGTCGCTTTCATTAATTTTACAAAACATAATGCATGATGAAAATTTACAAACTTTACTAACTTTATCTCTAGCTACTGTCTTACATTCACAAGAAGTATTTAATGTCAGCACAGCAGCATGTTTTGAGGTTTAGATCAGCAATTTTTACGACCCATTATTGTTCCTTGTCATCTCGGTGTACCGGTTAAGTATTCTACCCATTATGCACCCATTTTCTTGGCAACAGTATATAGCTGTGATTTTCACAAACCTCCAAATGATGTAACCCCAAAGCACGCAGTGAGGAATGAGCAAAAGGAGAAGAACAATTAGTTTGACTGCATCACTTCCCCTGGCATCATAAATGCTTGCCAAATTTGCAAACATCAGAGCTGATACAACCATAAGTCCAGCTGTTAACCGATTGGTAAGACTGTCTTTGTATGGGTGAATTAGAATGCATAGAAGGGCCACTGTACAAATGACTATAGCCATTAAGGATGAAGTAGTGAAATTGTTGGTAAGGTTCTCTGAGCTCGGAATTATTGTGCTTATCATGCGATGAAAAAGAGGAGGAAAAACACTAAGAAGCAGTACCAACAATCCAGAAAGCGATCGATAATCACGAGTTCCATTGATACCATCTTTAAACGAGCCGTGAAAAGTCTCAACGTATGTTTTGATTCTTAGCCTCCACTTTGGACTGATGCAGTGACTGATCTTCCTGTACAGTGAGGTGGGGTAGACCACTAGGATGAGGAGAGGTGGAAGAAAGACAAACACTGCCACTGCCACTGAAAACGTCATCAAAATTACGTGTTTCATTGAATACATTGGAACATTTGGATCAAGGTACAAAACTGCTCTAGCTGCATAATCGCTGTTGCTAGTAATTGGGGTCCATGCAAATGGTTGCCAAATGACCGATGATAATTTGGCATACGACAGAAAGAAAAGTGAGGCAAAGGCTTGTATCATGGATGATCTTGGGTCCCAGGCTCTGTAGAACCCCACATAACATCTCCTACACAGTCTCCACAGAGCCACAACTGGTTTAAAGTTTTTGATATGCAGCTGTATCATTGCGTAAGTCAACATAAGTAACATGAAAGGATAAACTGCCGCTATAAACTCGAGGTACGGCACGTAAATCTCTTCCATTTGTTGTGATATGCAAAGCGGAGGAGATATGAAGAGCATAGCATCAATGGTCCACAGTGCACAAAGCGTTAAAGCAGTCTTGGCTAGGTTAGGTGCAGCAACATCTAGTTGGGCATATAGCCAAGTTCCAAACCTTAAGTAAAACACCGAGTAATTACAGACAAGTACAAAGTTTGCCATTGGTGCAGAAGTAATGTTTGGCCTAAAAATAATTACCAGAAGATATATCACTGTAGAAGGCAAGTATTGAAGAAGCAGGTAGTGCAGTACATTAAATGATGAACAAGGAACACATTTGGTTCCAACAGAGTATACAGATGGTCCAGTATTGTTAGTACACCTTCCGCACAGTGGACCTTTCACCTCTCGACTCAGATTTCCACACACTACACTGTTCAACTCACTGAGTTCGGAATGAATGGGGAACTGGCCATTCTTTGTAGCATTGTTTGGAAAGAGAAACGGACACCAAGTCGCTAGTGTAGCATTTTCTTTTAAATCATAGAAAATACAGGAGCCTTGTGCAAGCCAAGATATTTGATTTCTCTGGTCACACTGTATGCTTCTTGGAATTTCCTCAGCACAGGCGCAATAGCCAGAGGATGCTGAAGTATTCACCCATTCAAACCATGGCGGACACTCCTTCAACCCCAAACTCTGATATGCTCCTGTCGCGAAGGTTATTACTAGCGCGATATAATGCACTAAAACCATTTTTAGACTTGAATAGACTTTCCTCGTGAAGTACCTCGTAATAACTAGCCCGTCGCGCGGCGACGCGCGGGTGCGGCCCTAGCTGGCTGGCCGGGCACTTGACTGTGGCGGCGCGGCGCAAGTCAACTATCACGTGATCCGCCGCGTAGCTAGCTGCTGCGTTACTGGTTTCAGGGTGGCTATATCCACACCATAGCAGACCTGCAAAGTGTTCACCCAGTGTTTGTGTTACAAAGTATCCGTTGGCTTCGAGGCAAATTTTAAACCTGTTATCTCCTTACCACAGTTGAAGCGCTGATTGTTTCACCGTCTCCAATTTCGGCGGAGGTGTGCACGGATAACAAAGGATCGTTTCTTTCTTGCCGCTAGTCACTACGGTAGATCATGGAGCTCTTCCTTGGTCGATACTGAACAACGCCTAACTAACTCAGCATCAGTGAGCCGCGCGCATGCGCCAGGCGGGGCGGCGTGTGCGCGTATTACCAGGCGAGTTGATAGACCTGCAAGAGGAACTCTCAGCCTCCAGTGCCTTCTGTACGTAAGTGTGCACATTCCCAACTGGCTAACTTGCTGTTGATTTTCACGAGGAGCAACTTGGCAGAGTCTGCGGGGTGTTACATGAGTCTTGCGGGGGTAAATGGGCCTTATTGTGTGTGATCACAAGTTATCCGCGATCGTAACTGATTTTTACCAGCACAATAACCTGAAGAATCAGAAATGTTAAACCATGGAGGACAGGGGCTCTCTAACTTTTTGTCCAGAAACTCAGATCCACATGAAGCAAACACTATGAGTTACACCGTCTACCATACTGCTTTCTTTAATGAAATTATCTTGTGTTTTTATCTTTGTATTGCAGCACATGATGCCCATGTTTTCGAAAGTTTAAACTATTGGTGAATACATGTGTACAAAACTAGTTATTTCACTGTGCATATAAATGCCTTCCAATAGCATTAAAGCAACGGCTGCAGGGATGCATGTTTGTGCATTTCATTCCCTCATAGACATACGTGTATGCATGAGTCACGAGTGTCAATGTGAGTCAACTGGGTACAAACCCCTTTGACACGCCCACTTATCCTGTGTTGACTAAACTGGTACTGACTCAGGTTGGACTCTCTCTCTCTGCAATCACTCACTTACGAAACTGGGTCGAACCCTGCTTGTAAAGTATATGGTCAAAAGCTGTCTACAACAATTCTCCTGAACTAACTGATGAAATAAGTAATACAGCAACCTGATTAGTCAAACTCTTGCTGTACTGCTTATTGTCAAGTTGAAGCATAACGCAATATCTTCCCTGTAGCTTCCTTCCCTTGTTGGGTGTGTCTTTGTTAGGACACAACTTCATTAGCTGCATCACTGAGTCAATTTGTAATGTTCTCTAGCACTATAGCATCAGTCTTGGCCTGCCCAACTGTGCCACACAGATGTGCATCACAAAGTAAAGTATACGGCAATAACTCGCCAAGCATGCTACAAGTATGAGGGTCCTTCACCGTGTCTGATTGCACGCAAGTATCTTTGTTCTTTGGTGAATGTCTCATACATACATCTCCTATGCAACAATAGGGATTGTATGGTAGTATCAGTGGCTGTCGATTTGATTTGATTTTTGCCAAGACTTGCAGGAGCACCCAGTGGCTGCCGGTGTTATTTCCAGAGATGAATTGTCGTCCGGACGTGGGAGGAGACGGCTTGGTGCAGTGGCTGGCCACACTGCTTGCTCTGTTCCTTTCACTCGGCAGCTCAGCAGGTATAGCTAGCTGTGTTATGTAGCTAGCTGAACATTAGCCTACTCTAGAGGGTGTAAATGGGCTCTGGCTTCCATGTTTGCCGCTTTGTCAGTTCATGGAAACTGCAGCGTATAGGAAGCTGATCTTCCCAGATCTTTAAAAATACCTAGCTAGTGTATTCACAGTCCTATCAGGACGAAAATATGCCGGAAAATAGATTTTCTAGTGGTTGAGTATCACATACACAGCAAATTATTTGTAGATCATTATGGGCTATATTTTTTGGCCATGCAATCCGATATAGAGCCACACAATCGCTGCACTTATGACTGCCATGTCCATGCACATTATGGTCAAAGTGACATTCACCACAAGAATGTATGAAGAGAAAGGAAAATGGCATTTCTATGTTTGAAGAGTTAGTTTCAAGGGGCAAACCATAATTCTTGATGATTGTGAAAGGACCCTTCATTCAAGGTTGGTCCTACTCCCGCTCTACTGTGGAGTTCCTGGAGTTTGGCTCCTCCGCTGCCATCCTCTCAGGGTCCCTTCCTCGGGGAGACGATGTGAACTCCGACCCCATCCCCATACCAAATGGCTTCCCCTTCTCCAATGAAACTGAGTCTGTTGTTTTTGTAAGTTCTACTAGACTCCCATAGCTAGAACTTAGTTTTAATGCGCATTTCTATCTTTCTTGTTCAAAAGAATATCGCGCCAATAATATTATACATCGGTTTACCCACACTAGTCTTTGTCTGTTAGACCTACAAACAGGTATTGTCCAGTGACCAATTTCATTGGCGTGGCCCAACACCCTTCAATGAAAGTTAATACACTCTTGACTTAACTTTTTTTTTGCAAAAGTTCGACTTGTGCCGAGGGTTTGGACATGAGAAATTTTTGCCTCTACACGTAGGTGAATGTTAATGGATTCCTGTCCTTCAGAACAGCTAGAGACTATGCTAGCCCTGAGGAAGAGTTCAGCTCATCCTCCGACTATACTCATATCCTTGCTCCTTACTGGGCTGACTATGACATCACCCAACAAGGTTGCCGTCTTTAGAACCGTTTCCTTCTTCATGTGTGCAAGTGCATACTATAGCTATAATGGATGCACAAAAAGTTGTTCACACATCCACGTAATGCAGTGAGCATCGCCGCCGAGCGTTGCATATGGAGTGGTAAAAAGTAAGGTAATAAAAAAGTTGAAACATGTAGATTTTAAAGAGAAACTCGCACCATTTTCTGTTAGGACCCAAGTGAATGGTTGCACCATGTGCATCAGATTATTCATTTCCAGTGAAATTGCCAATAACTTAATCATAGCCATAAATAGGTGCTGCTTTATTCTTTGGGTTCCCTAACCACAGCACTATCTTCATCATGCACTTGTTACTGTTTGTCAGTGTGTTTCTAACCAGGAGCTTACCCCTCAGGTGAAGTTGTATATGAAGTGCACACTTACGCTTATGGAGACCCACTGCGACAAGTCAATTGGGAAATTAGTTGGGAAGTGGGTGTGAACTATAAAGGAGTGTGGATGCTGGTAGTTCACTGGAACAATGTCAACCATGCTCAGAACACTTCTGAGGTAAGTGTTATAGCACTTTACTTTAAATTTACTTCTTCACTTGGAGCATATTGTTTGAAAAAACCTCAGGCAATTTCTATAAAATTACTTCTTCACTCCTCAAACTTGCTAACTGTAGCACACATGGAGGTGAAACTTGGTGCGCATGTGTATTATATCATATCCATGACGACCACAACAACATAATAACAACAAATAGCCTCAGGCACTTTTCTTTAAATTTACTTTTTCACTTCTCAAACTTTCCAATGGTAGCACGCATAGAGATGAAACTTGGTATGTATGCTTATTATATCATTTCCATGACGATTACATGCTACGCTAATTGAGACCCACTGCGACATGTCAATTGGGAAATTAGTTGGGAAGTGGGTGCGAACTATAAAGGAGTGTGGATGCTGGTAGTTTACTGGAATAATGTCAACCATGCTCAGAACACTTCCGAGGTAAGTTTTATGACTTTAATAACGTTTTTAACATTATAAGCCCTGAATCTCTTATAGAGTTTTCACCAGGGTAGAGTGTTAAGGGTTTGAAGCTATCGATGTGTGCTACCTATAAGAGGGGTTAGCTAGATAATCAGAGCTGCCCAAGCACAATGGCATGTTAGCCATAAAGGCATCACATGCACTGGCTCCTCTATTACTTTAACAAGAGGAAAAATATTACTGTGGCTTAAAACTGTATGACATCTCAATGAAAGAGAGCTACACACAATTAAGAACAAATGGTTTAAGGTATAACCCTTTAATATCTCTGTCACAGTCAAACAGCTTTCAGGCAGTGTTAGTGACAGATGGCACCACGTCCTACTGTATCTTCATCTACCACTGTGACCTTCTCCTGTCCTCTGGAGCTGCCATTGGCTTCTCAGCCTCCGGTAACTTCTCCTTCAACCATCGAATGTCTCTCCAGACCCACTCCAATGAGGTTGCCTGTAGCAACAGACCTGACAGTGACTGGAATGCTTTGATCTACGTCATAAACTATGATGGTAGGAAAAACTATAACTTTAATGCACGAGGAAAGCATGTATCCAAGAAATGGCTTAAATCGCATGATTGGTACTTGATTTATTCAAGAAAGTTAGTTTTCTAAATTCTTCTTCTTGTTGCTGTTGTTCAGTTTCAACAAGCGTATCTCAAAAACCACGTAAGATTTGAAGTTTAAACTTTGCACAGAGATTGCAATCCGTGACCAGGCGTGCAAGAGCATTTTAATTTCTCTGTAAACAACAAATAACAACAAACAATAGCCCCAGGCCACACATTATAATAGGGACCAATAAAGTGTGCTAACTAGGTAATGCTAATACCCACAACAATAAACTTTTTATACATGTGCAACCCATCATTAGAGAGTCGGTAGACTCTCTATATAGGGATGACGCGGGTGAAATCTCACGTGATCCGCGTACAAAACGACTAAAAACTCGGTGAGAATCACTCCCTAGGCCTTCAAAACACACTAGCAATGGTCTACGGGCCCATATCTACCTATACATGTCCCCCAAGACCTCATACGCACCTTCAGTCGTCCACGCGAGAATTCGCTCATACGCGATTTCACGATTTTCGTGTCATCATATTCTTCATCTTCTTCTTCTTCTTCTTCTTTAAACCCGCTATCTCCTTACCAGTACCAGTTCAAGCACTGATTTTTTCACTGAAGGTCTCCAATTTCGCCGGAGGTGTGCACGGACATCAAGCGATCGTTTCTTTCTTGCCGCTAGTCACTACGGTAGATCATGGAGCTCTTCCATGGTCGACACTGAACAACGCCATTTGCTGCTAACTCAGCATCAGTGAGCCGCGCGCATGCGCCAGGCAGGGGCGTTGTCCAATGTGCTTGCGAGCGTATTACCGGGCGAGTTGGCAGACCTGCAGAGGAACTCTCAGCCTCCAGTACCTTCTGTAAGTAAGTGTGCACATTTCCAACTGGCTAGCTTGCTGTTGATTTGCACGAAGAGCAACTTGGCAGAGTCTGAGCGGTGTTACGCGAGCCTTGCGGGGCGCTCAGTCAAATGGGCCTTCATTGTTTGTCCCCCCCCAGGTTGTAGCCTGATTACCAAAGCCTGCCCATGAAACCACAACCATGTGCAATAATCTAATTACATCCTTTTGAAGACAATACATGACGGTATCTAGCCCCGCTTCAGGCCCCATTAGCTACTACTTTCAACAGTTACTATTTGTCTATGGTAGCCTATCTACAACATGCCCATGAACATCAGAGTGACTGTAAAATAAATGCAGTGTTGTCATAAGCTGTTAAAAATAGTGGAAACAAGTGGAAAAATCATTTCTTCAAAATGAAAGGGGGATATAGGGATGGCTTGAAGCACCAAAAAGGAAGAAACAAGGGGTCATTACACAGCAAAGTTGCACAAAGCTACATGACACCATCCCTATATCTTTGTTTTATTGTTTATAAGCAAAGTTTAATATCGAACAAAGATATAGGGATGGTGTCATGTAGCTTTGTGCAACTTTGCTGTGTAATGACCCCTTGTTTCTTCCTTTTTGGTGCTTCAAGCCATCCCTATATCCCCCTTTCATTTTGAAGAAATGAATTTTCCACTTGTTAGTATGTAAACATTAACAAACAACAAACAGCCTCAGGCAATAAAAACTTGTGAAATGTGTTTTTTCCAATAACTTGCTTATGGTGGGCCCTCTAACAATGAAACTTGGTGCACTGATTTACCATTATGAGAGTTCATCGAAATGAAGATTACAATTTTGTAAACAACAGCAAACAGCCTCAGGCAATAATAATTTTAAATAGTGTTTGTGCCTCTAACTTGCTTATGATGGATCCTCTAATAATGAAACTTGGTACACTGATGTACCATGATGAGAGTTCATCGAAACAGAAATACAAGGTTTTAAACAACAACAAAGAGCCTCAGACAAAAAAGACTTTTAAATGGTGTCAGTGCCTATAACTTGCTTATGATGGGTCCTCTCATAATGAAACTTAGACTACGGTAACACGCAATTGACCAATTAGATTCCGAGTTTAGAGGTAACTATTAGTTACCTCTTCCGCGGTAACTATTTCGCAGCCCTGCGGCACTTTTCTTACGCTATTGGCCATGGCAACCACGCCTTCGATTCGAGAGACGCCGTGCGTGCGGAAGGCAAACGGAGCTTGTGGAGAGGTTCTTTCTCACGAAAACCCTGGTATTCGGTGTTCTAGTTGCATGACTATTATTATTTACTTGTCTCCTTTCCTTTTTTACTGCTTTCACATGCATAGATGCAATAAAAATTGGATAAAATGTGGAATATAGGGATACCATAAAAAGCAGGGAGACAAGACAGGGATGACCTAGTGCATAATATTATGATGCTAGTACAATGGAATGATGGTTACATCTTCAAACTGACATTGCTTGCTCGTGTAAATCTTCCTCCACACAAACCCTATATTGTCGCCACTTTTCTCAAAACACGAATTTCTTTAGCGTGAGGACAATGGTGAGGCTGAGACACATCGATCCACTCGGCCATAAGAAGCGAGTCATAGCTGCACATCATACAATAGAGATCACTCATGCTAGCAAGAGAATAATGACATCGATCCACTCGGCCATAAGAAACGAGTCATAGCTGCACATCATACAATAGAGATCACTCGTGCTAGCAAGAGATTATAATGACAGTGCATTTAGCCAACACTCCTTAGTCGAGTCCCCTCTCTCAAGAATATTAAGACCAGTCTGTAAAGAGATTATCTGGTGGGCCATGAACACAGCATTGTAAAACTCATCGTTAGATAAGCGAACACGGAAGTCTTAGACTGCACACAATGCAGTCACAACCAAAAACTGAAGACCTGTCAGAGAGGGAAACACCTGTGCATCACGTGCATAAGAGATGAATCATTCTATGAGGGGGCTCACAAATATTTGGCGACAATATAGGGCTTGTGTGGAGGAAGATTTACACGAGCAAGCAATGTCAGTTTGAGGATGTAACCATCATCCCATTGTACTAATGCATCAAATGCACCAGGTCATCCCTATCTTGTCTCCTTGCATTTTATGGCATCCCTATATTCCACACTTTTAAATTTTTTATTCACTTGTATCTCTTATGTTTGTAGGAGTGAGACCGTACATCGTTACAATTCCAGAAGGTCCCATCTTCCAAGCCGGCAGAGAAATAAAGTACTATTGCAAGGTGATTGCTCCTGGTGCTTTCAGTTTCAAAATGACAAAGTACTGTGTACATATGGGCTCTGAGAATTTAGCGTATCAGTCTCCACTATCTACAAATACTACTGAGACCTCATTCATCATCAATTCGACTCCTACTTACTGTATGGATAAAGTTGGGTGCACAGCATGGGATGATGCTGGTAGCACTGCAGAGGACAAATTGTCTGTACATGTCACAGGTTAGTTGATAGAGAGTATAATATAGTAATAATAAATTATACCTTTCTTTTCTTCCTGTATCGTATTACGCAATCCCCCTTCTTTATTCCTGTCCTCTTTTATTTTTGCATTCCAGTTCCCGTCCCTCTTTTTTTTGTTTTTGTTTTTCTCTCAATCTCCCTTTCTTATTTCATTTCTTTTTTCCTCGTTTTACAGGAGTAGGACTTGTTAACTTCCACGGTAGTGAAATGCCCAATAACACATGCATTGAGGCAACATCAGACCACCAACTGGGCATTGTCTACTGCATGTCTGCCTCAACCAGCCAGCCTGACATTGGCAGGTGGATCAGTCCCAGTGGAGAGGATATCCTGTCGCTCATGAATGACATGTTTGATGTATATTCCAACACTCATGAGTTCTACAGCTACACCTTTCTCCGTCTCAGAGATGGTATGTACGGCTTACCTAATGGTTATTCTTGGACTAGGCAAATAAACATGTGTCAACAAACAAACTGAGGTAGCAAACAAAGCAACTACACCCTCCTTTGATCTGCCCTGGGTGGGATTGAAACCCACGACACTCTGCAGTATAGGCGAGCTCTCTACCAACTGAGCTACCAGAGCAACTCAGCTGGTAGGGGTTCGAATCTACAACACAATGTATACAAGACAAAGGCAACCACTGGCTTACCTCAACTGTTATTCTTAGACTAGACAGTAATGTACGCCAGTACAGCTTACCTATAACAGTCATACATATTCTTGAACTAGAAAACAAAAAGCATCAATGAAAAATGAAGCTATAACAGATACTAACCCTTTGCTCGCTCACCTCTGATATTGCATGGCTCACTGCTAAAGGCTGCTCCCCTCCACTTGTGTGGAAAGAAAAGTCCCAATCACAGGATGGTAGGGGATTAACACATTGCCAGTGACATTTTGTACATCACCTGTTCTCTCCAATGCATTTTACATCACCAGGTGTCCAGTTCAACAGATCGTCAGAAGGAGTCTATAGTTGTGTCATCCCCGATGAGAATGGAGATGAGAAAATCCTTCATTTTGGTCTCTATGACTATGGCTTCGCCGCAGGTGAGAGAAAATTCCTTGAAACATATTATGCACTCGCAGTGTCTCAATACTATTCAAGAAGTTTTGAATATCCAGGATCCTGCTCTTGATGCACCCAGGACGACTCTTTTTTAGAGCTGCCCTGGTGGGGATCACGCACAATACTCTGCTGTAGGCAACCCACTGAGCAAATACACACTGACTGGGGTAGGGCAACTAGGGCAACAAATCGTAATGAACACAAGGCAACTTAACTGTGCTACTGCCCAGTAAACTCTCCACTTTTATCCCACACACCCATGGTGAGAGGAATGGCCATGCTTTGGTGAAGAAAAGTGTCCATGTGTAGAGAAAGGCACCAGAAAATTTACGTAATCCAAGCTAACCATGCAATCTCATGCTCATAAACACTCCAGTTGCAGTGGCGGATCATCCTCTGTCTGTGAGGTACGTCTCTGAAGACCCCTTCATCCTCTCCTGTGACTCCGCCCACATTCCCCCCTACCTGGTCCAGTGGTGGCAGGGTGGCAACATACTCAGTGATGGAGACTCCTTCTCTTTCTCTTCCCGCCTCATTCACAGACGAAACTCTACTTTTGGGAACACTCTGACTATTGCCCAGCGCTCATCTAGCTCAACCTACAGATGTACTATATCGGTCATAGTGCAGCCCTACTTCAGCTACATAGGGAACAAAAAGGACAGAGTCACACGAACGTGTGAGTTTCTCCCATAAACAATTGTCACCACCATTAAACCCTCTCTCACTAACCTTTTCAGTAGCTTTTCTTGATCTCCATTACATTGGAACCTCGTGACTATGAACACTGTTAAAGAAAGCGAAATACCTGCTTAATACGAACCACTTTGAAATCCCCAGGCATTATAACACTAATACAACTATATAGCTACTGTTATGGTGAAATTCCTTTTATTAATTTTTGATGGTCCCCTGGAGTTCATATTAACGAGGTTCGACTGTACATAGCTACACGTAGAGATGGGGCTAATGGGAGATGATATATAGCTATAATTACTGGTGAAAATGAATGTAGACCTTCACAAACTAATGAGAGATACAATGAGACAAACGAAAGTGTCCTTACTAGTGACGTACCCTTATTTCAGGGATGATATTGCATTCAAGAACTGTTCTTGAGAGAAGTAATTGTGCCTATATATGGCGTGCCCTTGGGAGGTACTCCTCTGTATAATTATATGAATACCTATAAGGTTATTTAATTATATAATACCTATAAGCTTCGCTAGATCTACGTACGTTTTATCTCCTCAGATGAACATGATGCAGTAATCCTTCCATTCGGAGGCTATCAACTGCTAACATGTTCCTCCGAGTCAACTGGGATCACATCTCTCTCGTGGGAGATAGCGGACGGACTGGAGTTAAACTGGTCGTCTTCAAACATCGTCCGCTACATAGCTAAAGCATATAATATTTCCCAGGAGTTGGTATGTTACGGATGGAGTGGGGCTCTGAAAGTGACAGCTCTCCAGTTTGTCTCCCTTATAGTTCAAGGTATGCCAAAACGAAACATTTTTGGCGAGCAAAGCAAGCAGTTAAATATTTCACGAGTATTTAGAATCACGTAAACATTACTGTATGCTCAATGGACCGTTACAGATGGTAAAATTCCATTCAGACGACTAGGCAGGCTCGCCTCTCTTGCCAGTTATAGCTACATCAGGCTCAGCAAACAGGTGGCATATAAAGGAAATTTTTAAAGAGCATGCACACTTACTATAGCCTACAGTAAATTGTCTTGCCTTCCGAAGGACGCAAAGTTTTGAATTTTGTTAACTCCCCTTAATATTGTTGGGATCTTATTATTGCACAGTGGTTCATTATTATTCCAGCTACAATTGTTGGGTTTTCCTCCACAACATTCACTGGCACCGAGACAAGTGATGTTGCCGTATGTATCAAAGTTTTTAACCCTCCTTATGGTGGCGCCGCCCAACCATTTGATGTGATTTTTCTTACAGCAGAAGGTTGGGTGATACTATGAATAAGGTAAGGGCAGGTAATTCGGAGTGGCCAAGAATTCGCCAGTTCTGTCCATAAAACAAGAGCTATAGCTTTGCCTACCTTAGCAACTTTTTATCTCTAAAGGCTCTGACAGAAAAGGCCACCGAATTAAAACCCATTCCGAATACACCACCCTTACCTTCTATAGCTACCTCATTTATACTCACATCATAGCTGTGTTTGTACATGTATTTCAGGTGCTTCCAACCCACAGCAAAAGGTCGAATGTACCGAGTTTGAATTTAAACAAGGGGCATCTGTGAAGTGTCATATCTGCAAAATTGTCCAAGACGACGTGTGTAACATAAAGGAAAACGCCACAGTTTCTGAGCTCATCCTCAGTCTACCATCCGCTAATACATCTAGTGGTAGACTTATTGTCTACGAGTCACGATCTAAGACTAACATCACTGTTGATGACAGCAGAGAGCCAGAATGTTGTAAGTGTGCTCACCTTAATTGGGTCCTTGTTGGCACATGTCCTTGGTTACCTAAAATCCCTATATCTCCCTTTACTTTTTTACGTACCTCACAACCTATTGTTTAGATGTGACAGTTGGATATGAGTACTCAAACTATACCATATCGGAAGCGAGAGGTTACGAGGAGCTTTGTGTCACTGGCTTCTCTCCTGGAATCGATGAAGATTTCACAATCAGTATCATCATACCCTGTAAGATAAATTGCTACCCCTGTTAGCTACATACTTACAAAATATTACGACTATATACAGATTCGGTGGATCTCTTCCAAATGACTTCAAATGGACTTAATTTCGTTGGTACTACGTTGAAAAAGACGTGCTATGAGACCAATTTTACATTTGGTGTCGATAATGTGTGTGCAGGTTTCAACTGCCGCTCATTAGAGTTTGAATCAACACTAACCAAAGTTGATGAAACCGCTCGAGTGTATATCACCAGGGCAACCACTTTGATAGTCATTGAACTGCCAGAGAGGTGCAAATGTAGAAATGACACTCTCTCACCACCAAATGACGGAAGTGTAACAACCGCAGCTACCACAATTCCTCTCCTGGTAATAGTGATTGTTGTTCTGGTGCTTATCATCCTCTGCTATAGAAAGTGCAAGAAGATACATCTTGACAAGTGAGTTCTCCCATCCTCTATCGGTATATAATTATTCTGATGGTCATTATCAAAAATTATAGGATTCATCAGCGTGCAGTTCGTGGTAAGGTTATTACAACTGCATATAGTCATTCCCATTTACACAGATTAATCCATTCTTAAAGAAAATCTTCGAAACATATTTTCCGACGATGGAGTTGAGATGGGCAGTACCACATGTCAAGGTTTGTGTATACTATAATACTAGGGCTGAGAACCAGAGTGGTCTAACCAACAGAAGGAACATTTATATACATTTATTCCTCTTCACCTCATTCATTACAGCCAGTATGGTGGCCCACCGCATGCAACATGTTGTATTTTCATTTCAACTGCACATCACCATAACTGAGACTTTGGTGTCCCTATATACATGGTGTGTATTGCAGTTGAGTCAGAAAGAGTCTGTGTAGAGCAGTCCGGTATTGCAGCTGAAACTGAATCTGAGAGGTCTTTTCTTTCTGCACAACTTAAACAACAGCTGAAAAATAAGAGAATGTTATTCTCAGTGAATGAAATCGACCTTTCTACTACCATAGGTCAAGGTCTGTACTTTTTCATCCCATGGATGCAGCATTCTGATTGCTAGCTAATGTGTATTAGGTCAGTCGGGACTGGTCCACAGGGCGTATCTGAAAACAGGGGGAGGGAAGGAACTGGTTGCCGTCAAAACTGTTAAAGGTATTACTGAAGAATGGTATCTAGTACACAGGTCATGAGGGAAAGAAGAAAGAAAAGAGTCGGGAGTCAAATTCAGGTGTCATGATTTTTTAAGTCCACTGTACAATGCACTAATGGTCTAAAATATCCTATTCCCTCTCCCCCTCTCTTACTTTGGTAGATCATTCATGTAAGCCCATATAGAATAAGGTGTTATAATTTCGTGATGGCTTACATGGATTATCTACTCTACTTTCCATTCTGGCTTGTCTATTTCCATAAACATACCAGGATTAATCAGGTCAACTAAGCAATACATTTTCTCAGCACTTTTCTCCAAGATTGATGTGGAGCAACTGGTAAAGGAAGTGTCTACAATGTTGTCACTGGAGCACACTAATGTCATGTCTCTACGTGGAGTGTGTGTGGCCGTGGACAGTCCCCTGCTGATAATGCCCTTCATGACCAATGGATCTGTCCTGGAGTTTGTCAAACACCACAAAGATTCACTCCTTTGCATTTCAATGGAATCAAAGGTTGAATGCTTTACCAAATATTGTAGTGTATTGTATACTGGTTGTGATGATATGCACAGGTTGAACAAGCCAGAAAGAGGTTATTGAAAATCTGTCACCACATCTCGAAGGGCATGGAGTATCTGGCATTGCAGAGATTTGTTCATCGTGACCTGGCAGCAAGGAACTGCATGTAAGAGCTCTCAACAATGTAGCACTGAGCTCAGATATCATTCCAGTAAAGGTCTCAATGCGGGTGACTAAACTGGGGCATCTTAAGATACACTGATGTATTTTGTATTGGGCAAAGTGTAATATGCTCTATAGGGAGGTGTCTATTAATAATTATTCAGTGTCAGAACATACTTTTTCGGATGTTTCACACTATCCTAGTACAACATGTACTCCAGGATTGACCACAATGGAGTGATCAAAGTGGCCGATTTTGGGCTTACAGAAGACATGTATGGTGCCAACTACTTCCGTCAGCAGGAGAGGGGAGAGGGTGAGGATGAGGAGAAGGTACCCATCAAGTGGATGGCTCCTGAGAGTTTGGAAGAAGGCATCTTCACCGAGGCCACAGACGTGGTTAGCCTTAACAGTGTACTTAGCTTTCGTTTTAGCTACACAGTGTTGTGCATGAAGGGATTAGCTACTGATGTCACGTCACTCAATGCGAATAGCCAACAGAGAATCAGTCATGTTGACGAGGGCACAGTAAAAAGAGTATAGGGACTTGGAATGCATAGGAATGACACAGGCTATATAATATTGTGCAATTAGATTAATACTCACCTATTCATTACCTAGGCTCCATTAGCTACACTTGGATTAGGTCTGTAAACACCTGCCTTCTGAGTCATTATTATAGCATGTTTCTCCAGTGGTCATTTGGAGTGACGGTGTGGGAGATCTTCACTTGTGGGAGGATCCCATACACTGGTATTCCACCCATGGGTCTCCTGAAGGCGATAAGAGCAGGTAGGAGACTGGAGAGACCTGAGAACGATGCCTGCCCGGACGAAGTGTAAGGAAACTAACATGAAATGGGTCATAGCTTGATATCTATTGACACCATTATCTCAATTAATCAAGGGAACAGGGTGATAATACCAATGACTTTTGTGGGGGCAGTCAACTTTGACTATGCTATAATTATATATACGTATAATATTATTATCTGTTAGGCTCTGCATGCTATATGTCATCTGCTAGGTATGACATAATGAAGAGTTGCTGGTCCCTGGGGCCCAAGGGTCGTCCGACGTTCCAGCATTTGGTGGGCATGCTCAGCAGGCTCCTGGAGATGTTTTCAGACTATCTGGACCTGAGTCAAGCGTCGAAGCAACTGGAGCTGTCTCAGTCTCTATGCTGGAAAGAGGGCGTCCACACCTCTGCTGCTGCTCTTCCTGTCATTAGGGAACAAGACGCTGAGGATGAAACTGAGGATTTATTTTGAAGCCAGCATATTATTATTATTATTCTATTGTGACTTGTTAACTGCTCTACGCATAATATATACATTTACAGTTCATGGTATTATCACCAGTACTGTCAACTATTATTATACAGAACGCTCTGGAATCTTTCGTAAACTGCAGTCTGTCAGCATCTTGGAACATTGCCCACACAATCGTGATTAGTGATAGGCAGGCTACGCCATGTGATGTCATCAAACGTGGTCTTCCAGCTGGCCATGATGGACAATAATAATAATATGCATCCTACACCTTTACACATTTTCATGACGCAAAATATCAAAATAAAGAAGGTGTGTATAATGCATGAGATTATAATACAGACATTATCCTAGAGTGTGTCGTTCAACCATAACAGCTGGCCTGGTCAGACCACACCCCCTTCTACGAGGTGCCACACCCACTGTACTTTGACCTCTAGAAGACAGACTATTGAGCTTTGACTGTTGAGAGGTCTGGATACGAACAGAGGAAGTTGCAACGGCAGTGGGTGGGGGGATGGGGAGGGTGTGAGGGGGTGGGAAGTGTGAAGGTTGTGAGGATGGTGGAGGATGGGAAGAACGACTCTGTGGAATGTTCGTTTGGGTGCCATAGAGATGTGATAGCGGTGCCGAGTGTGAGGGTGGGAGGGGAGGCGGAGGATCTAGTGATACGTCACTCCCCATAACCTCTTGGTTCTGTCCTACGTCAGACTCCTCGTCCTCCTGATTAGCAGGGGTTACCCCGTTCCCACCGCCACCCCGGAACATGGTCATGGCCTCCATGTTGAGAGCACACACTCCCCTCATGAAGGCCTGCTTCATGTTCTGTTCGTAGAGACTCTGCTGTGACTTTAGCTGGAGGATCTCTTGTCTTGCCTCGTCCAGAGCCCTCTGAGACTGGGTGGGTGGGGCGAGAACAACAATTCAGGATTTGCATGTAACTGCATGACCACTATGACAAATCTACATGTTCTCTACCAGGCTGTTGGCAATATAGCAAAACTACTAAATTTTATAACAATAATTGGTCATGATTATAGGACATTTGCAAACAAAAAAAGCAACATAATACTACGTATGCACAACTTTCATTTGTACGATGATCCACACACATAACAATTACCACAGCTAGTGTCTCATCATAGTCAGCCGTCAAATGAACACACACCTCCTCCGCCTTTGTCTGTAGGCACCAGAGTACACAATAACCATCGGCATCATACAATCCTCATGGACTATAAAGGCTAATTCACATGTAGGTTGCAGAGGCCCATGACATGACGTCACCAAATGTGAAAATACGATGCAGCAAGGAATTAATCCACCTTAATATCGTATTTTCAACACTTATATCGGAGGCAACTCATAAAACAGAAAAAACATGGGCTAAAACAAGTGTCCTTTGTAGAACTATTAGCATAGGGTTGAAACAAGTGTCCTTTGTAGAACTATTAGCATAGGGTTGAAACAAGTGTCCTTTGTAGAACTATTAGCATAGGGTTGAAACAAGTGTCCTTTGTAAAGAGGTCATCCCTATCTTGAAGGTCAAATAATACACTAAGTATTAGCATGGGGTTGAAACAAGTGTCCTTTGTAGGGAGGTCGTCCCTATCTTGAAGGTCAAATAATACACTAAGTATTAGCATAGGGTTGAAACAAGTGTCCTTTGTAAAGAGGTCATCCCTATCTTGAAGGTCAAATAATACACTAAGTATTAGCATGGGGTTGAAACAAGTGTCCTTTGTAGGGAGGTCGTCCCTATCTCGGAGAGTCCCTTCTCGTAGGTTCTACTGTAAGAGGAATTATTCCTCTGACCTGACATGCTCTCTCCACCCTCTGTCTCCACCGCTCTCTGATGATCCCAAACCACGCCTCCCACATCTTCCTCTGCAACTGGGAGTGGTAGTGACGCCGGGCCAGAGCCGATGTGAATGCCTGCATGGACAGAGAACACAGCGAGAATCCACTACATATGAAACCTATGAGGTATAAATAAAGGCAAAAAGGCACAACAAACAAATCAACTACACCTAGGACAGAGCTCTCTTATTGAAGGAAGAAAGAGCTGCCCTTGGTGGATTTATAGTTTGCACCCACGACACTTTGCAGTCCAGGTGAGCGAGCACTTTACCAACTGAGCTAGTACCAGGGCAACTCAGCTGGTAGGGGTTCGATTATACAACACAACGCAGCACAAAGACAAACCACTGTGCTATGATACAGTATACTCCCACTCAGTATGTGTTCTACAGTGAATCCAACACTAAAGCACGTATATACATATCGGTGCTATGATGATCATATTCAACAGGACTCCCTGTGAACAGTGCTATTACTTTCTATCAAGACCTCATGCGTGGCTATGGTTATGTATTTCCATTGCCCCTATTTGCATTACACACATGTAACAATAGACCAAAATTGGGCCGCGGCAATGACATGCACACACCAAAAAAGAGTGGACACATCTTGAAAATACAAGAGAACGCTGTACACACGCAGACACAGTGTGCGTATATATACCTCTCTTTGGTCGTCGTGGTGCTGTATTTTCCAAGTACTAAAGCTCTTCTGAAGCTGAACTCTGGATTTCTAGATCATGATCGCAAAAAAAACAACATTAGTGAAGAAAGTTAGAGACATTCAGAAATGGACATTTTGCATAAGCTTCTGGGAAACTTGTATGAGGGAGTAGGTGCATTTCATCTCATAGGATTGGGGTGTCCAGGGGTAGGAGGGAGGTAATAAATGATGGGGGGGCACCCCTGCAAACAGGTAGACAGATTGGCATGGAGAGTTTACCTGTTTCTCAATGCTGGTATTGAGGCTGGTAATCAGCTGGTCTTTCCTGGAAATGGAGGTCTCTAGCGTAGCCACCAGTTCCTTGTACCTCTCCAGTTCCTCCCGTAACTGTTGCATAGCATAGGCCTGTCTGGAGGTTTGGGAGAGTAACATAATTTGTGGATGTGAGTTGTGCATGGAGAAGGAGTGTAACTCACTGTTGCAGCTCTCCTTCCATTTCTCTCTCCTTGTTCTCCAACACCCTTATCCTGGCCTGCTCAAACTCCGCCTACACAGAAACAACCACACATGTAGCATGCATTACACTAGATAGCAGTCTACTGAGTTTTAAGGAAGTAGTTACACATGATGTTCCATATTTCTACCATGAGAGCTTGTGCTAACACATAATTGATTGTACTAATATACATATCTGGCAAGAAAATGAAGGCTTCTACATCACAAGCTTCTTGCATGCATCGTATATACATCTTACATACATACACACCAGAACATTTCTCTTGAGGTCCAGACACCACTGGTCTAGTTTACCAGCCAACCTGGCCACTTCTGGGTCCAACCCTCCTTCCTCCTCCTCCTCCGCTCCCCCACCTCCTAGTGGACCATTTACCACACGTGTAAAGACAATTAAGGCAACAATTCAACAACATCTATGTATCACAGGGCAACACTGCTCTTTCAAAACGTCTGCCCTGGATAGGACTTGAACCCACGACACTCTGCTTCCCAGACAGAGTATATACTCCACTCACTGAGCAGGGGCAGTTCAACTGACTGGGCTTAAGTCTGTATATTATTATTATCAGTCAAAAGGTATAGCAGTTTCCTCGCTTACATGTATGCCATACAGTGGTGTGAGCGTTGCTAAAGTAGCAAAGCCTGGGACCGAGGCTAAGACAAAGGCAACCCCCAAACACTCTCTGTTCACAGAAACCAATATATTGTATGTGCACAGTTGAACCTCCGATAAGGGACCCTCCGAGATAAGGACGAGCTCTCTACAAAGGACACTTGCCCATGCTGATAATATTTGACCTCTGAGATAGGGACGACCTCTCTACAAAGGACACTTGTTTCAACCCCATGCTAATACTTTAGTGTATTATTTTGACGGGACAAATTCGTCGGTCCCTTGTTGAGAGGCTCCACTGTATACATGTGTACACCATGAAATGCCCGACTTTAAATACAGTGGACTTGCCAGAATGGAGAGTGGTGGCAGTGGGTGGAGGGACACGGTGGTGAGATGATTCCTGTGCCATCGTGACAAACTGTGAGGGTGGGGAGGTGGGAGGTGGGGAAGGAGAGTGGGAGAGGGTGTGGAGGAGCAGTGAGGGGTGGGGAGGGGGAGAGGTGGGGTGGGGAGGCGAGGGAAGCTGTGAGGGAAGCGACTGTGAGGAGCTTTCTTCTTCTTCCTCTTCGTCAGGCTTTGCTGCAGATGTAGTATATACACAGTAGAAACACATTATGAAGGTCACCATTACAGCAAATAAAAGGTGGCGATCCAGCTAAAAATCTAGCTAGGTATGTATTCATCTTTACAAAGTGAATACTTCAGGTGAGTTTACTTAGGCGTTCAATAACAAAGCTAAGCTGCAAACGACAGAGTATAGAGGTATGGAATCCCCTCACATCTCGTGTCCAAGGCAGTAGGGGCGGGAGGAGACGGCCGCGGAGGTTGAGAGAGGGACGAGCTCTCTCCCAGCAATTTAGGGGCCACCACTGCGTACTTCAGGATACCCTCGTATTCTTCTCTCAGTCCTGGAGACACGGAGCTACCGCGGCTCTCTGATGGTAGTTCTGGAGACGAACAACTCGAAGAGGAATGGTCGGGAAGATCCGCTGACATGTTCTGTTTGAAGTTCAAATTTTCAAATCTCGCGCGTGGGGTAAGGTAGGCGGGGCTCAGTTGGTGCGCAATATTTGGAAGGAGCCACCTGGAGTCGCGTTACATGTGTTACAACCCAGGCGAGACAGAGTTGCTTTTGAAAATGAATGATGGCCTCCAGCACTTGCTTCTCCGGAATTGTGGAGTTTCTCCGTACGTTATGTTTGTCCCTGGTTTCTTGTGTGTACAACAGATTGGCTTTGTCATGAGCCTTGTGTCTGCCTACCCTCATCACATACATACCAG